CTAATTTGAAGTTTTAATATTCTTCAATATAAGCAGAATACTTCTTTTTTTCTCAAGCGCTGCTAAAGTAATGATTTAACGTTTTGCGAGATGACATTTATACGACGTATTCAAATGATTGTTATAACACAACTACAAGTGTAAATGGTAAATATTTTGTAAAAAATAAACTATCAGATATCTTTCTTAAAAATATAATCGTTTATTTTAAAAAATATTAATCTTCGAAAATCGACTTTTGTCCAGCTAGATTGCCGTTTTGGCCCACTGTGCGCAGATGAGAAACTGTAGCAGATTGTATAAGAGGAGAGTCGACGTAGTGCGATATTTATTTCGTCGCGAGATCGGAATCGCCGATCTCCGATCGCATCAAGATTTTCTCGATCTCCAATTAAATTGGTTCATCCTCGTAAGAGAAACGTTCCCTTTTTATCAAGATGGAAGTGAATGACGTGGAAGAAATGAAAGTTGATGATGAAGCATTATTGTCGGACGATTCGTGTTATGATAGTGAAATGGCTGATGAGGATATTCCGGACAAAATTTTCAGAGTGTTGAATCAAGCAGAAGTGAATATGTTACACCCTCTGACAAAGATGTGTTGCATATATTCTTATTTTACTCCAGGACATATGAAGTTTTGTGCGTCATGCATTGCCAGAATACACGGATTGTTCTCGATGTTATACGCTGTTCGCAGACATGACACATGTCCGTATATCCTCATAGATGGTCTCTTTTGTTCATCTTGTGGAGACCTATTATATCTGATTTCACCGTGTAATTTGTGTCCTATGTGTGTTTTTGTGTAAATTTTAACTGTGTAAATAGCTTGTGTAAATAGCCTGCAGTATTTTAGTGTATACATATTATTGTGTAAATTAAGAGACAATGGCCTAAATTCTGAAGGTGACTGACTCAAAAGTTAGGGATTTCTGGTTCAAATCCTGCGGTGGTAAACAAATTTTCTGTATAATATAAATTTATTTAAACGCGATCGTGAGCGTGAACGCGAACGGGAGCGAGAGAGACCGCGCGAACGAGAAGACGCGCGCAACCGGGGGACGGGGGAGAGATAACGCGAGCGGGAGCGTGACGTCACGCGGACTCCGCGGCGCGGCGAAACGCGAACGCGGGTCTCCTCGCCCCGCGGCGCCGGAAAACGCGGACCCCCTCACCCCGCGGCGCCGGAAAACGCGAACCCCCTCACCCCGCGGCGCCCAAAACACGCGGTTCCCTCTTTCCCCCTCCCCCGCGACGCCCGAAACACGCGGTTCCCCCCTCCCCTTCCCCGCGGCGCCCGAAACATGCGGTTCCCCTCTCCCCTTCCCCCCGCGGTCTTCCCGCTCGCGGGTCGCTCTTCCCGCCCGCGGTTCCCCCCTGCCCCTCACCCCCTTCATTGCCCCATGGCTTAGAACCGGCCTAGCTTACCTACTATAATGCGTATGAAGCAGAAATTTTTATCTCTATATATTCGATTCCTTCGCCAAAAATTGAGCATCCAAGTATCGTGTATTTATCGGTCGTGTGTTTATTTTTTTTTATCTTACCAATACATTTGTTCTTTTTGCGTTGCGATAAATCAGACGAGTCAAATTTTCGGATAGCTGGAAAAAGGAAAAAAAAAAGTATTTCATCACTTTTTTCTTGACATGTGCTTGCAAAGCGATCAAATTGAAAAATTAATCTTATAAAATTGGTTTTTTACAGATGGAGCAGCAGCGGCAGCAGCAACAGCAGCAGCAGCAGGAGCAGCAGCAACAGCAGCAGCAGCAGGAGCAAGAGCAGCAGCAGCAGCAACAGCAGCAGCAGGAGCAGGAGCAGGAGCAGGAGCAAGAGCAGCAGCAGCAGCAACAACGGGAAAATTCGAGCTAGAATCGAAAAAGTACAAGCTCAATACACAGTGAGGAGATTTGCTCGTGCTCAATACGCAGTGAGGATATTTGCCCGTGGTGTGGCACAGAATTGAGCGAACATGGCGAATATAGCGACAGTGACAGTAATAGAACGATCGATGCTAAGAGATGTTCTTGGTGCCACCATGTCGACCAAGGTAAGAGCAGCAGCATGTTTGGAGCATCGAGGATTGTGCAACGTTACACGCTTCGTTGTATACGTGCGGATATACATATACACGCTAGAATATAAACTTTATCGGTAAGCGCACATATTGTGCGATTTGAAATAATTTAAAAAAATTTTCTTTACATAGAAATTGCAGAAATGCTGAATATTAGGAGCGCGTCAACGTTGACGTCGTATGCGTGGGATTTTCTATCGTCGGACTCGAGGACAAAGGACAATGATGATGCGGCGTGAGTATTTAACGACGTACACGCTCGCCTTTTTGTGTGTGTACGCACGCATATATATATGTTTACGCGCAAAGATGTTTTGCATGTGCGTATGTAGACGCGTGAATACGTACGTTGTGATATATTTTCACAGAAGTCCAGGCAAAGATGCAAATGCGGAGCGGCCGATTCGTTCAATATCCGTCTCTCCCCAACCAGAGACCGTCATCGATATGTCGTCGTCACTGCCGTTGCCGTCTAATGAATTGTCGGGGCCATGTTTTCCGGCGAAGCGTTGTTGTCGTCGTCGGTAAGTGAGATCAATTCCAAAGATTATGATATTTAATATTGTTTCAGTTTTTTTTTTTTTTTTTAAATATGTACGTTGCCTATACGTTAATTTCAGGACTGAATAAATACATCTATTTTTGATTCCTTGATCGACACAAGTACGCGAGGAAGGCTGAAAAACCGCGATTAAAAAGACAGTCTGGTTCTCACGAAAGATCATGGAAGAAAACCAAGAAGAAGAAGATATGGAGAGATGAGCGAGTGCGTATTGTTTCAAGACAAATCATCTTTTGCAATTTTCATAAAGATCGCGCGTAGTATATGGACTAAATATTACGAGACAAGTTACGTTTGCAGACGTATATGTTTATCGCATACGAGTTGCATTCATTATTTTGCGCAAGTACGCGTCACGATATATAACACGTTTTATTTGATATGTGATGGACACCTGTTTTTTGTTTCCTTGTATTAAACAAATTTTACGTGTTTGCGCTAACGTGATTTCTAAAGGATTTATATATACGTATACATGTACGAATATTTCCAAAGGGAAATGAATATTTAAAACGCGGATCTTTATCAACGTTATATTTACAGTATTTTGAACGACAATTTATTTTGATATATATATTTATATTACTACTAGATACGTGTGGAAAGATTTGTTTGAATTTCAAATCACGCTTTCTTTCTCTATTACAGATATATTCTTTATAAATTGCAGTGTAATACGGTTTTATACATTTCACCACGTTATCTCAAATTCTTGACGCTAATGTAAAAATGTGAAATGAAATGTATTTTAATAGAAGGAACAATCAACTAGTCTTGTATTTTGATTTCACAAATTTTTCGTCATTTGTACCGAATGACATAAAATTGATCGCGTGAACAAGTAACGAAGATATTATTTAACTTAAAAATATTAAGGTAGCTTTTTACAGAAAACTTTTTTTACGTTAATTTGCGACGTACGAGGATCCACGGCAAGAGTATCATTTTTTTCCCAAAAATTATGATATTCAATATTGTTTCATTTATTTTTTCAAACGCGTATGTTGTCTATAATTTAATTTAATGCGTGTATAAATACACCTACAAAGATGTACAACACAAACGCGCAACACGTATAGCACGAGATTATATTGCGCCATATCTTCTTCTTGTGTTTGGATACGAGTGCCTCGGAAGAGCAAAAGATTTGTATATTTTCATAATTTTACATTACAAGCGTATGTGTGTTGTGCACACGAGAAATAACGTGACATAGATGATGAAGTGTTTATGTTGAAAATATTGTAGACACTTGAAACGTAGAGGAGAAAAAGAGAGAGAGAGAGAGAGAGAGAGAGAGAGAGAGAGAGAGAGAGAGAGCTACATATTCTATCCTGGAGGTGGGTATCGTTGTGTTGTGCCGTTTATAAATTTATCAAGAGTCAACAAATACGTGTTTTATTTTCAATAAAAATTTAATTAAACATTTTTCCATTTTGCCGATTATCTGCAAATTCACACCGCGTCATTCGCTTTGATTACGTACTCATCCCGCTCAATTTAGGCAAATCCGAATCATCGCGGGCGAAAAATGACCTCCGTGGTGCGCGTATACAGGAAATGTTGCGCCGCGGGGAAGCGGCGAAGCACCTCTGCGAGAGCAGGCGACGGACTCGCCGATCGTAAAACGAGCGCGTGAAATTCGAACGGTGCGGTGGAATCGCGGTCAAAATCGGTCTTGCGGTTCGCCTTGGCGGCGCGTAAACGCGAAAGGAAGGTAAAGGCCCGTCTACATAGGCCGCAACACGCCAGACGCAGTTCGCGGACGCAAAGAAAACGCAGTACGTATTCGCGCCAGACGCAGTTCGCAGATGCAAAGAAAACGCAGTACGTATTCGCAACGCAAATCGCAGGACGCCATGCGAGACGCGTCAGTCAATCCATATGAGACAAGTACACTAGTTCTGTTTACTAGTTGCTTTGTGTTGTGGAAAAATGGATCAAGACCATAATTTGTTATTTTTGTTCTTGACACTAAATACAGCAGCATTAAGTTTGTGTCAGTTCGTAGAAAAGAAAAAACGAAGACGATGGTGGGTCCGACCGATTAATCGAACCCGGTCGAAAGAAGGACATTATGATACAATATTCGCGTACATGAAGGATCATGATCACGAAGAATTTTACGAATTCACTCGTATGTGGCCGCATAAATTCGAGCAGTTAGTTGAACTCGTGTCACCATTCTTGCCAAATGCTCAAAATTGCATAAGAAAACCTTTACCTGCTGGTTTACGTATTGCTTTAACACTGTCGTAAGTGTATTTATAAAATGTTACAAAACTTTGTACATTATACATTAGTCAATCGCGAATTTTTTATAGTTATCTTGCTCATGGGAATGCTGTGCGAACGCAATCTTGGGACTACCGGGTAGGAAGATCTACAGCTTATAAAATTATTCCAGAAGTGTGTGAGGCTATATGGAGTGCTCTTCATCCTACATATCTCCCAGACATGAATCAAGAAAAATGGGCCAAAGTGGCTGAGGAATTTTACTTAAAGTGGCAATTTCCTAACTGTGTTGGAGCAGTAGACGGGAAACATATAAAAATACGTTGCCCTCCAAATTCTGGATCAGAATATTTTAATTATAAACAATATTTTAGTATTGTTCATATGGCAACTTGTGATGCACAATTTAAATTTACTTGGGTTGACGTTGGTCAATACGGTAAGTAATTCTTCTCTTTATCTTTGCTAACATTTGAGAGAATTTCATATAATTCTTATTTTTTACTTTTGCAGGATCTATAAGTGATGGTGGTGTGTGGAGTAGGTCTAAATTTGGAACAGACTTTGAACGTGGATATGTTGATCTCCCTCCGCCTAAGAATTTACCACAAACAAATATTCCGATACATCATGTATTTGTAGGAGACGAGGCCTTCCCATTAAAAATGTACTTATTACGGCCATATAACAGAAAGGACTTAGGAGATGCAGAGCGAGTTTTTAATTATCGCTTATCCAGAGCTAGAAGAGTGATTGAGAATAGTTTTGGGATACTGGTTTCTCGTTGGCAAATATTAACAAGAACTATATGTTGCACCCCCGACAATGCTACTGACATAATTAAAGCATTAGTTTGTTTGCACAATTATATCATGACTGCAGAAGAGCAGCATGTGATGCCGTATGCAAGAACGTATTGTCCATATGATTTGATTGACCATGACACTCTTGATCACGACATAATTTTAGGTAATTGGCGTAACCAAACAGAATTAGGTACTTTTACAGATTTAACACGAATAGGTGCCAATAATGCTCGTAAAAATGCTACGCAACAGAGAGATGTAATAAGGGATTATTTTGTATCTCCACTTGGTGAGCAAGAAGCTCCTTGGCAGTACAGATTTGCATTCAGAGGGTTGATTTTAAATGATCCTTAATGATATTATTATAGAAATGTAAGAATAGTTATATTTTATATAGTAAATGTTTTAGTATAGTATAGTACAGAGTTATAGGATAGAGTAATAAAATATGTAATAAAATATAACCTTACGATAAAAGTATCTTATAATTTAAAGGATTGAGAGAGAAAACAACAATTGCATTATTTTTCTTTTTTATTTATGCAATCAAAAAATACATAAAAGTATTACATAAAATAAAACAAACATATAGAACAAGTAATATAAAACTTTTACTCAGTTTCATAAAAACAAATAAAATATTATCTTTGGCTTTTATATATTGTTAGTAAAAGTTTATCTTTTAATAAAGCGTATCGTTTTTCACAAAAATAAAATTAGCAAAATCATAAACTTTAAATGTATAGAATGTATAGAAATCTTTAAATGTATAGAACAAAAGTAATAAAATAAAAAGTTAATACAGACAATATTTAGTTTTATATCGCTTCGGTAATATGGAGACTTGCACCTTTCTTATATATTTCTGCGATACGACAAAAGTCAGAAATGCATAACAGTTTTTTATCATCTGGCACGTGCTTTATTAAATATTGCAAAAAATGTAATTCTTCGGTATTTATTTCAGTAGGGCGAGTTATCTTTGCTGCGACTTCTGCTGCACTTTTTGAAAGTTGCTGTATACAACTTTTGAGAACATCTTCATTTTTCTCCTTTTTCGCCACATCTGATATTGGATGTTTATGCTGTAACATTGATTTTACCGCTTTTCCTCGAATAGTAAGGGACTTTTCAGATATGATGCTTCACATTGAGAACCAGATATTTTTGTCGGTAATGTCTCGGTCTCTCTTTGAACCTCAATAATAGGTACTGATGATTTTAGTACAGCTAGTGAAACACAAGAATTTTTATTTGATTCGTCGCTGAGTACTGCAAAAATAATACAAATACTTATACAATAGTAAAGTAAACATATATGGCAACAAACATAAAATTCTTACATGACTCGTTGTCACCTGAGGAGGATGTGCATTGCAAAGAGACAGACGGAGTATCCTTATAAACAATATTTTCAGGTATTGCACTTTCATTTTCTTCTGTCATTTCAATGAAAATAAGCGGCTGGCTTGCTTTCCTTTTTAAAACGTTTGTACAGGAATCTGTTTCATTTGTCCAAAACTGACTGTCATCTGATTGTGTTTCAGGACAGACAGATTCACTGTCAGAGTGTCCTGAATAATTACTTATTGTCCTGTGTAAATATTTAAAAAATAAAAATGCGTATACTTATAATTACTTCAATATATTTAAGTATAAAAAAAGATGTGTATTATTATCATATATTCTCTATCAGAAAAATGTAAATATATAAATATTAAAACTATACATACGTTCTACTGTTAATGTGTTCTGAAAGGAACAATAAATCTTTATAGTATTCCCATGTTGACTCATATCTCGTATTTCCATCTTGTACACCTGCTCCTGATGAGGGAATATTAGCAAGAACTTTCTTTCTTTCTTTTTGAAAGGTATCTCTCAAACTCTTAAAACGTTTTGCAACCATATCTCCTAAATAAAAATTAATGTAAATTACGATAAGCAATTGAGAGAGAAAGAGAGAGAGAGAGAGAGAGATAGATAGATAGATAGATAGATGATCTTTATTAAGCCCAAGCACAAGCTATAGGGCAAATTCATAACATAGCCATAATACATATAACGTAGTGTAAGCATAAAGACTCTGAGCAAGAGTATAAGCAATAGCTAAACATAAAAAGCGGAAGATTATGTGAGTTCAAAACTAAAGGAGACAAGCATGTTCATAATCAATTGTTTGAACTCATCTCATCAACACTTATTTGACGCATGTATTACAATATGACGATAATGTGTATAAAATACTTAACAATACGTAACAATATGTACAGAATACTTCACACTACATTATGCTCTCTCGATCAAGTTTATATCAGTACGCAACTAATCCAATCAACGCTTATTTGACGCATGTATTATAATATAACGTTAGTATATAGAAAATAATTGACAATATGTACAGAATACTTAATACTACATAATGCTCCCGATCAAAATTACATCAGTACACAACACAATAAGCCATTCAACTCTACTCCGACTCATATTCAGACGCCAGTAAAAAAGACCGTAGAAGGCTCTTGAAGGATCCCAGAGAAGATGCCGATGTAATGCAAGACGGTAGAGATTGCCAGAAATATATGGACGAAATGTGAAAGGAATTCCTATATGTGACAGTTCTATAAGCAGGCAGATTAAATGTTTGAGATGAGGTGGCACGTCGTTCAGATCTCCGTAGCGCTGGATCCAGCTGGGTAAAGAGATCACTTAAATATGATGGAGAACGCATGTGAATAGTACGATACATCAGGCATCCAAGGAAATAAAGCCTTCTGTTCTCAACACTGAGCCAGCCCAGTTTCCGCCTATACGGTGTAATATGTTCGTCACGCCTAAGATTGAAGATGAACCGTATGCTACAGTTTACCAGCCTCTGAAGTTTAGTGTTGAGTTCACCAGTTAGACCATGATATACTAAACAGCAGTAATCTATATGAGGCAA